AAAAAAAAGTTAAATATCTATTAATGAATATAAGAATATTTGATGTGATAAAGCAAAATTTAAAAACAAACAAAATTAATTTCACGATATAAAATTTCAAAATTTGATTTTCTTTTGATGTTAATTTTCTCTTAGCCGTCTGTTTCTTGGTTTCTCCAAAAGCTCCCCTGTCTAATTTTGAATGAGTGTTTAGGTTAAGTTTAACAATGCTAGCTTGTAGATAATTGTATCCATAAATTTTTTAGTCTTTTTACATTATAAAATATATAAAATATATTTTATATATTTAATATATATTTTAATTAATATTTTATATATTTTTAAATAATAAAAAAATAAAAATTGTAAAATAAAACACTCAAATGTGTTGTCAAACGAAGCATAACAAACCCTATTAGGAAAAGAGTATGATTCATGACAAAAATGAGAATTATTAATGTTAAACGTGCTTTTAACGTCGACACCATACCCGTCTCGGGTTTCTGACCCTTTTGCGATTTCTTTAATGGTAAATGTCAGATTTCGTCTTCCAGCTTTTATACAATGAGCACTTTAATTTATAACTTCAGAGTCATTCATTTAGGTCCCTGAAAGGAACCTTTCTTCTTGCAATTCAGTTGCTCAACTTTCAAAAGATATTCAATTAATCCTACAAATTCCTATTATTATGCATCCAAGTCCTTAAGGAAAAAGGGAAAATTATGCAAAATCTATTGAAATCACATTTTATCCATGCATGCAAAGAGAAACAAAATCAAAACTAAAATAATAGATTAAAACATATAAAACACATCTCATTAATATCCTAAAGGCTGAAGGTTGAGATTCAACTTAATTGACTTTTGCGCGCCAACAAAGCCGCTAGTCTTGTGGTAGAGGTTAAGGCCCCGTTTATTTGGGTGTATGTCCAGTTTTTCATGTTTTGTAGTATTATTTGATACAAGTACGTCAGGTGAGATAACCATTCTTGGGGTGAAGTGGCGGAGAGACGAGAATTGAGAGGAAGCGTGGGCGTTGATCTCCCTAGTAAAAAGGTTATTATTTAAAAATTTGAACCCCTAACATTTTATCTTAAAATAACATAGCCAACATTGTCCACATACAATCCGATGGTTTGAGTCGGCAATTTTTAAGTTTTATTTCTTGCATTAAAAAATTAGAATAATAATAGATATTTGAAAAGAGAAGAACTACTTTAGATATTTTCTAATATGTTTGACCTTAATAATTTGTTTAGTTTAAGGAACGGAGGGGCGAAGAGATGGATTTTTATTTCATTCAATAAAATTAAGTCATTGGATTAACAAAATAATTATTTATGATGATGTTGTATTCCCTTGCCTCCTCCCACTTTCCCTCAAACCAAGCATACAATAAATCAATATTCTATTTATATATATAATGAATAACAACCAGCAGTTTCATTATGCAACAAAACACTAAAGCATATATATGAAAATTTTCACATCAGTTTAACATATCAATCTCATCCGAATTGAAAATACTTAAAACTTAGCCACTTCTTAACCCATGATTATTCAGTACAATTTAATAATGCAATTATTGTGTATTCAAACAACACCTATATAAAACAACACTTACATAGACAGGCAAAAACAAAAAAAAAAAAAACCACTTATATAAAAACTTTCAAGTAACTGAAACGGCACTTAGTAAGCTATTTTGTCTTTGAAAAGACGATCGTTTTTGAAAAGACGATCTTATGCCATGTAATAAGCCAATGAGAAGGTTGATCCCAATCCCACCTCAATGAGTAACCAATTGGAGGCGTATCAGAACTAGGTAGCACCTGATTAGCACTTGGTTGCAGCGGTGATCATCATCTGGTTGCACAATCGAATATGTTCAGTCAGGCTAAAATGTGCCATAAGAACCACTACGTGGGTAAGAAGCTCACCGCCGCTCCGAAGATGTCTGTATGCTCTCTTCATTCACACTTGCCTGCAGCATATGCCAGCATTTCCATCCACACATTAGCAATCACTTCCCATTTTTCTTCAAGTTCCCACATCGATTCACTCACCAATGCCTTCAACATCGATGCCAGCTTACGACCATCCAGCAAGACCGACTTGCTTTGTGTTGACAAGAATTGAAATTCATTGTCCATGGGAAGCAAAGTACTAACAGCGTCATTTTTACTCATTGATGATTTCTTACCAAAAAATTTTGCCACCTTATCTTCTCGTGTATCTTTGATCCTCACTCGACCGATCCCTTTTGGAAGCATGGGAGGCCGCACTAGGAGGAGATACATCATATAATTTGACAAAAGCTTGCTAATTTGGCAATATGAACCCAAAACACTATTAGAATATGTTTTATGATCGTCATAAAACAGAATAAATGTTGCGCTATGCCAGGCAAGAATGCTGTGGCTGAGTTCTACGTCATTAACGCTCCTTTTTAGGTACTTTTCCCCAACTTCATAGCTTTGAAGAACATGAGCCCCCCTCTCCTTTAATATACGTAAGAGCAGGTCATAGTTAAATAGCTTCTCATCATCAATTTTGTCTTTAGAGTTTTAATACTGCTCGAACTTCTTTTGAAGATGCAAGTAGATGAAGTTCTTCAGGTCTCAATTCACTTCTTCCCAAGTAGACCGCCATAATTTCCCCACGATGTCTTCAGTGTCAAGCACACTCAAAATTGTAGTCCACTTGGATGTCTTGACCTGGAAGCAATAATCTATCAGGCTATGTTGTGCCATGAACACCATTCCCTTTTCCTTGGCATTCCTATGAACCAGCCAGGAAATAATTCTTTGACTTGTACACTTACTCACCAAATTGCTTGGAGTAGTTAAATAGAGTATTGTCCAAGTAGAGAAAGCATGTGAAATGCCAGAGCAAATGTCCAGAAGGATTGCTCCGCCCAACAGCACATAAGTTATAGAACTGTCCTTCCTTGGATAGCCACTTTTACCCACTTCGATGGAGAAGGCAACCAGTGCTGCAAAAGTGGACAACAAGCAAATACAACGGAGGATTATGCCCACTATATATTGCAATATTACTGCCTTGGTGTAGAGCACATCATACAAGAACCCTAGCTCAATGTGTACCAGTGTGAAGGTAACTTCGGCAGAATGGAATGGGGAAAGCAAGAATTTGCTTAATTCTATATAAATCCTAAGCCTGAGGTCTGAAAAGAGAGGTATGAACATCTTAAACAGGCAAAAAGCTTTATGCATGGACAGATTTACCGCCTTCAATGACATTTTTGTGCTTTAAATAGTCATCCAACGTCTGAGGAAGATGACTGCTAGTTGAACCATTTGATTTTGTTGTGGCGCCTTTGGGGGATGAGAAAACAGAATTGCTAAACTGCTTGTGGCTTGCAGCCCTGAGAATCCAAATCCTTTCAAGGTACTTGGTAATTCCGGTAATGAAAATCGGGATGGCCATGTTTGTAATAGTGGATTTGGACCGAAACTTAATGTATACATAAATAGCCACCCCGACCTGGATGACAAGGCCGAAGAAGTACC